GAGGGAACTCCTATCTTGCTACAGTCCCCATCATTCAGATGCCATCTGATACTCAGACTGGTGTTACACTGCACTAATGGCTAGGGATGTTGGGCCTAAACTCAGCTTCTCCTCTGCAGCACCTAAGCAGTACAAGTCCCGTCTCTTATTTCCAGTAACACACAACTCCAGACATCAGCAAAATAAATTGATCTTGGAGATCAAGAGACCAGAGCAGCTCCACAGGCTCAAATTTAAATTTGACTCCGTTGTTCAAGATTAGAAATTACCAACTTACTTCAAAGAATCTCCTAAAGTTCACAGTCGGCCCTTGGCTTTACACAAAGAAAAATGGCAAAGTGGGGATTTTGGGGAAAAAAAGAGGGTTCAGTAACAGGTGGTGCTGAGGGGGGACAATTTCTAAGGAAAGCATGCAGGGTAGCATTAGCACATGAGGTTTTAGGTGACAAAGGACTAAGGCCTTCATGACAAGAAGTTATTTCTAACTATGCTGCCCTCAACCTCCTAAGGAAAGGAGCAGCATAGGAGAGCAGACCCTATGGCCACAGATTACTGGGAAGCCACAGGAATGGCTTGTTGCATGCAGCACAGCTTAGTGTGTATCACCCTGTGTTAATATGCTTTTTACGCTACTGTAGCCTGGGTGGTGTCCCAGGTTTTTCCCTTCCTCAGCTGCAGGCTGCCTGCCCAGCCCAGGTACACAGAAGCTTCCTTGGGAAGTGGCAAGAGGAAAGCAACGTTTTTGCAGCACTTGGTGTTTGAGGATGGAGATTGCTTATGGCTGAGAAGGCAGGCAAAGGGCGGTATAGAGCAGTATCACCACCTTGTGGGGGAGCTGCAACATCCCACGACACCTCTTTCTGCCCAAAAGTCATGGAGCAGCAACTACTTGAAGAGCACAAATGCGAGATTATCCGCCTTGCCTTGTGGTGGCAGCTCTCGAATTTCAACATCCAGCTCCATGCAAACACACAAAGCTTGGGGGAAGAAGCTTTTCCTTCCTCTTTCAGCTCCCTCTTGCAATCCACGATGCAATGTGCCATGGCAGACACGCTGCTGTTCCCAACAGCTGCCCTCAGTAGTGCCTGTGTTCTTGAAACAAGGGTGCAAGAGAAGTAGAGGAGAGCAGAGCTATTGGAAGGACAGCCACAAGGGTCCACAAAACTGACATAAGTACATTCATTTATTTTCAATCTCCCAACATAGAATTTCACTTTAAAATTAGTCCTCAGAGATTCATTTGTAAGGAATTTGTGAGTAAGTATTAAAAACAGTGTGACCAGCAGGTCCAGGGAGGTGATCATCCCCCTGGACTCGGCACTGGTGAGGCCGCACCTCGAGTGCTGTGTTCAGTTCTGGGCCCCTCACTAGAAGAAGGATGTTGAGATTCTGGAGCGTGTTCAGAGAAGAGCCACAAGGATGGGGAGGGCTCTGGAGAACAAGCCTGATGAGGAGCAGCTGAGGGAACTGGGCTTGTTTAGCCTGGAGAAGGCTGAGGGGAGACCTCATCACCACCTCCAACTGCCTCAAGGGAGCTTGTAGAGAGGTGGGTGCTGGTCTCTTCTCCCAGGTGATGGGGATAGAACAAGGGGAAACGGCACCAAGCTGTGCCAAGGGAGGTTCAGGTTAGAGATAAGGAGGAAGTTCTTTACTGAGAGGGTCGTCAGAAGCTGGACCAGGCTGCCCAGGGAGGTGGTGGAGTCACCATCCCTGGATGTGTTTAAAGAGCAGGTAGATGAGGTACTTAAGGATATGGTTTAGGGGGTAGACAGGAACGGTTGGACGTGATGATCTCAGAGGGCTTTTCCAACCGAGCCATTCTGTGATTCTGTGAATATTAAATAGAGCCATCATAGACCATTACAGACTGCATCAAACAAGCCAGACAGTATCTGACAGGTACCATTTGAAATTTTAAAGCAAATGAGGATCAAAGTGTCATTTCCATTCATTCTTGTTCCACTGATACTTGTTTTGATGCATTAGCAATTCAGAGGAGAAAGCAGTGCCTCAGCACTCGCACCTGATTCAGAGGACCCAAGCTACCTCCACTGACTGCAGCTATGGGAGAGGTAGGGTAGCACAGAGGACCCACGATCAAAGCCCAAGCTGTGGGGCATTTGGCCATTCCTCATTGAGTGACGTGAGAGGCAATTCCTTTTGGTCTGTAAGCATTAGGTTAGTCAAAATAGAAAGAAGACCTTTTCATTGTTGTTACAGCCAAAATTTAAATTGAATTTAAACATAAAAAGAATCAAAATTGAGATGGCACCCACAAGCAGCTCTTGGGGCTAACTCAAACACACAGCACTTGATGCAGCAGTTGAAGTGCTCTGAGCACCTTTCTTCATAGCTTGTGTAAAACCACCCATAAAGGCCCCTATTACCTTAAATGTGTTCTTTCTACAGGGATCAAATACACAGCTTTACTGGCGAGTATGGTGCTGGGATGCACAGATGTCTTCTTGAAATTGTGAGGGTGCAATACAGGAATGTTTCTTTACAGCTACAAGCCAAGTGTTACAAAGACCATCCTAGGGATAAATCCTCAGAGAAAGCCCCTTTGGATTCATACCACAAACATTTCTGCTCCATGGATTGCAGAGGCACTCTGATGCTTCTAGCAGATGCTCCAATGTCTGCCCAAAAGAACATTAGAGGAAAATACAGAATATGCTCCCATGCATTAAGCCCAGACAAGATGTAACTTTCTGCGTGTGCAGTTTCCTAAATAAATCAAATCAAATAAATAAAAAATAATCAGCAGCTGAGTATTACCAGGAACAGACAGATTTCTAAGGAAATAAAGCCTGGCTGGTAACATCCCTAGGACCAAAGCACTCCACAGAACACCACTGAAACAATGAGGATTTGCGGGGGTTGAAAATCTCCAGAATTTGAGGCTTTCAATTTGTTTGAGAAGCACTTTCTGACTTCGGGACAAAAGGGCCTGTCATGTGGTTTAAATGCCAGAATCCTCTACAAACAACTGATCACAAAGACAGTGAAACACCAAGTATTTGCAAGCATTGCCAAAAGCTCGACCTCTCTGCAGCGCTGAAATTGCTACACCCGGACCAGGTAGAGTCAAACCGCCACACTGCACAACACAAGCTAACTTAGTAAGGCAGGAGCTGGCAGACTGAGGACTCCTGACCTTGTCCCCAGCCGATTTCGCACAGAATCCCAGACCGTTAGGGATTGGAAGGGACCTCAAAAGCTCATCCAGTCCAATCCCCCTGCCGGAGCAGGAACACCCAGATGAGGTTGCACAGGAAGGCGTCCAGGCGGGTTTTGAATGTCTCCAGAGAAGGAGACTCCACAACCTCTCTGGGCAGCCTGGGCCAGGGCTCTGTCACCCTCACTGAGAAGAAGTTTCTTCTCAAATTGAAGTGGAACCTCCTGTGTTCCACTTTGTGTCCGTTACCCCTTGTCCTATCATTGTTTGTCACCGAGAAGAGCCTGGCTCCATCCTCGTGACACTCACCCTTTAAATATTGATAAACATGAATGAGGTCTCCCCTCAGTCTCCTCTTCTGCAAACTAAAGAGCCCCAGCTCCCTCAGCTGCTCCTCATAAGGGAGATGCTCCACTCCCTTGATCATCTTTGTAGCCCTACGCTGGACTCTCTCCAGCAGTTCCTGTCCTTCTTGAACTGAGGGGCCCAGAACTGGACACAATATTCCAGATGCGGTCTCACCAGGGCAGAGCAGAGGGGAAGAACAAGTTTTGGTACTACATGGTATCTAACCCACTCCCAATTTTAACTTCAAATTATAATTTTAACTTCTCTCCAAGTCAAAAATGTGTAAAACGGGCTCCACAATATAACAGAAGACCAAACAAATCCCATAGCAGATTATCTTTTAAAAATCACTCCAAATTCTGGAGGCAGAACCAAGAAAAAAAACTTAACTTATATAGAAAAGACCTAAAACTACCCTCCTTGATGACTGGTTATAACCAATGTATTGAATAATCTCATTAAGAAAAAAAAATGTACCACTAAGGCCCTTTCCCTCAGAGCACCGCAGAAATGTTGCCCTCAGTTTCAAGAGTGAAAAACATTAATGTCTGCTCTCCCACAGATTCAGTGTGATTGAGTGTGTAACAACAGATTATATTCTTGGTCTGATTATGCCTTTCCATGCTTAGCTTCAAGCCATACCTGCTGCTAAAAAGGGCAAGGCCAAATTTCATCTTGCAGTTGGTTCCTCAGAAGATGTGATCCACATCAGCTGTGTACATTGTTTAATTTATTTCTCCATAAAATTCCAGCAAGAGACAGCCACAATGGACTTACCAGAGAGAAATATTTCAAACATTGGACAGGGAACAAAAATCATAACATAAGCACCACAAAGGGGAACAGACAACCAGTCAGAAGAGCATTTAAAAACAGCTGAGCAAACATTTTAAACAGAAGTCCAATAATGGGAACGGGCAAGGAAGAAAACAAGGGCACGTTATGCTGACAGCACCAGCACTGTGAGCCACCTTCCAACAACTGGTTCTGCTTTACTCAGAGCTTAGCTAAGCATTTTCCATCCTATTTCCAAGTACATCCAAGTGTTCCAGACACGTTCAAAGTTCAGACAGAAACGTGACCTACCAAAAGAAAGGCGAGAACGCATCTGAAATTGCTTTTCAGTGAAGCTCTAGATGTAGACGTTGGTATTTTAAACAAACACCAGGTGGTTCAGAGAGTTCCAAGTGCTCTTTGGGGCAGAGTTACTAATAATCGGTATAATGTCAACCTAGAACAAGGTTTTCAGCTTCAGCAATTTGTATTTATAGTAACAACTGTTTTTTTTTAAATATAGTTCCCAGCATTTGTAAATTAAGGGTCTAGGGAGAAGCAGTGAAAAAAAGATGTAGCAACAAAAAACAATGCAAAGTGGTTTCACAGTTTCTCCTGAAGCGTGATGCGATGCACTTCAAACTTTTCTTATTCACAACTTTCACCCATTCTGTATATACAAAACCCAACATCGCCGCTTCACTGTCACAGTCACTTCATAGTCCAGGACAGAAATCTAGAAGGATGTTTTATCCAGTTAACAGACATGCAAATCCTTAGTCTGCTGGCTCTTCATCCATCCTATTTGCAAAGAGACCTGCTCCTTCATTTCCTGCTGAATGAAACACATCCAAACATGACACGACCTGTTAGTCCACAGCCAGGAAAGGACTTCTAACACACATTCACCTGAACAAAAGAAGATTTTTGTAGTTACTTATGTGTTCTTCAATCTGACAAGGTGAATGACAGTCAAACGGCCAGGCCACTACCAAAGAAGTTAAATTTGTTCATTCCTAAAACATAGTTGACTAAATGGGAACTCGTCAAAGCACAAAGAACGACACACAAAAGATGCTTCTCTGAACAAAAATGCTTAGTGAAGCCCATTCTGCTTCCTACTTTACCAGTCCTGATAAGACAGCTCTGCATTTCCCAAGTCATTTTACCTTATATTTTTTCTTCCATAATCACAAATGATTTTTACCAAAAGCTATAACCAACTGAATAGCTAGACCAAACAAAGACAACAATATTTTGAGGGACAATATTCCTGAAACTAAGAGATGCTCACCACTGCCTGTTCCTAGTTCTTATCTCTCAGGTTGCCTCACCTGACATTGCAAAGAAGAAGAAGATTCTGGACTGCAGGAAGGGTGGAATTCTCATTCTGGCCCGTCACCAGGTGCCTGTCGAGCACAACATGTACAGCATCTGGATTGCTGGCTAAATAAAGGAGAAAAAGAAACAAGCATTGTGTTCGTGGACACTACTTCAAGTTTCGATATCACATCGCTGATAGAACTAACATAGGAGATCACTGTTTTGATTTGGTGGGTGACTGACGTGCTCATCTATTACCCCAAAGACAGGGACAATCTTGAGATCCCAATCCTGAAACAGTATCACTAGGAAGTCCTTCTCTGAAAGGACAGCAGGACTGGTCCCTTGATTGAATTAAAACCAGATAGGTGAAGTGCATATATCAAGAGAAAAATCTCTTTTACTGTGAAAACAATAAAATCTCAAAGTATATATTTTAAAGTTGTTATCCCACAGTACAAAATAAACTCTTCCTGTGTAAGCCATCAAAGTTGTAACCACCACGCTACAAAAAGCCTGCGGAAAAATACTTTTTTTTCTGGCCAAGTATAACAACCTGATGTGTTAACATCTTCCCACAGTTGTTCAGAACACCAAGCAGTATTTTTAAGTCACCTCACTCCAGACAGAGCCATTATTCTGTCAGTAATGAACAACTCTTATTTTCTTCTCCCTCTCCCAGCCTCTGACTGCCTAAATTCTGGCTAAGTGCCTTCAAACCCTGCGTACCTTTCTTCCTCTTGCCTAATTTGTCAGTACCTCTGCAACCAAGCATAGGTGACATAACAGGTATCACAGACGCCAGCTTTTAAACCATCAGTACTGAATCCATTACGCAGAAGGTGGCAGCAGCAGCTCACTCAAAAGCCATTAAGATGCCATTTAAACACAAACAGGCTGACAGCAGCAGGGATGGAAGAGGATTAAGCAATTAATACATAGCAGTTCGACAAGACAGTGGCATTCCTTCTTAGTGAAAAATAGATGCATGGTATTAGCAGCCTGGTTCTGTTTCCTGTCCATGCTGTGGGTGTGTAATCTCTAATCTGGCCACTTCAGATAGTATCAGTTCAATGGGTGGCATTATTCTGTTCAATAAAGGATGACTTAAATGCCATAGGCATCTCATCATTCTCTTTAAGGACAGATTCTAAAGAATTACCTTACAAAACAGCAGACTGATTGACAGCTGCAACTGAATAGAGCCATTTATAGCTTATTATTTAATTCTCCCAGTAGCTCTTCAGTACTGCAAGAGAGCGGCACGCAAAGAAAGTGACATTTTTCCCTGCACATCCAGAAATAATCTAGGAAATAAAAGTGACTTTGTTACTTTAAAAGATTTAGTTTCTCATACAGGACAGAACTTCAGCTTTTACAGTACAAAAGCCAAACTTCTACATATTGACAAATAATTAATGAAATTACTAGCAACAAAACAAACTCCTACAAAAATCAGATCTAGCTATGAGTAAAACACTTGATGGTAAAAGATAGCTAATAGAGCAATGAAAACCATTACGTATAGTGCCTCTAGTTGTAAATAATGAAGTTATTGCTTGAATAAAAGACAACCCCAAAATCTGGAACTTAACCGGTCCCAGCAGAGCACACGCTCCCTGCCATACAGTAAGGAAGCAGCTGCAGCATGGAATGGGAAGATGAAATATCCTGTCAAGAGTCCTGTTCAGCTGAGTAAATCTGGCATGCAAACACTCATTTCCAAAACACAGCCACAAAACATGAAGTGCTGGACAAGAAAGTGACGTACCACTAAACGTAGCTCCAGAATCTTTCACGAAATCTTCCACGATAATGGACAAACTGGCAAAGTTAGGCTGCCTTACTAGTTCATACACAGAGGGCTGAAAAAAGATCAAAAGTAAGTCTGTCTTGCTTTTTATTAAAAAAAGCACCAAGCAAAACCAACACATATTTCCACTCATAACTTATTTTTCTGTTCCCTCTATATTTCCCCCACCTGTATACAGGAAATGAAACAGAAATGAAGCACAAAACCAAACAACCACAAGCAGCTTCTATGGATTTTCTGTAGGGAGCAAACTGAAAAGTCTTACATGAGATCAATAAGAAGAATGACACCAATCAACTTCTGCACATGACCTGGACACTGAACTGTGTGCGTGCAATTAACTTCACGACAGCACAGACCTGTTTGGCTGTTGGACACAAACACTTGGACACAAAAGCTGTGCCACCTGCAGAGTCCAAATAACAGTACTCTGCTTTGGAATGAATATGGGAAACCACTGAAATGAAGAGAGAAAAATTAAAAGAGCGCTTAGTTTCGTTTTTATATGCACAGGAAGAACTTGAATTTTATGGTTTCCATAGCAACTATACCTGGGCACATCACGCCTCTCATCTAAAACACTTTATCATGGATTGTAAAGCCAAATACAAGCATATCAGAACACTGACAGCTTTTGTGAGTCCTGTAAGCCTAATTTCTTAACTCTGCATGTCAATTTTTGAACTCTGGAAGTTGTACTATAGAGGTCTGCATCACCTTGGTGCACAGGCACAACCACCATATAAACGGTCTGTGAGGTCAGAGATATGACTGCACATTAAATAAAACACCAACAGTATCTGACTACTTTTTGAATTACAAGCCAGTTTGTAAGAACAGCCTTGTTGCCTAAAACATCCTCTACCTTTTAAAATGAAAGGCACTTTGAGAAATACAACTTACCTCCAGCATTCATAAAACCAAAAAAGCAATTCTTAAAAGCCCTCAACTATGACTCCAAAGAGCTGCAGCAGTCATTTCCAGCATTTCATTGATTCAATTTAAAATTTACGGAACAATCAGAAGGAAAACACTCTCCACAACTGAGACAATCCCTTCACGTGCTCAGTGTTGGACTCCCTTGCCAATGACAACTCGCCACACTCTTCACATAAACCAAGAGTACCAAACTGATGATTTATATTTGTAGGAAGTTCTTGGATAAGACCAGAAACACCAGCACCTGAATTCACAGGCTCCTGCAAAGCAAAAAAAGCCCCCTAACAGTAAAAGTCAGATGAAAGCACAACCTACCCCTGTCAGGCTGTATCCCTGAAATAACCAGGATTTATCCTCATTGCTGGCACAACACAAAGCTGCAACTCCATGTCCAACTGCACAGATAGGCTCTAGAAAAAAAATAAAAATCAAAGCATCTCTGAGAAGCTGTGAGCATTTTCAGACAGCCAACACACATTAGTGATCATGAGATTCTTTATGTTACGGCATGTTGCCTTCCTGCCATAAAATTATACTGCACTGGATTGGACTGGATGATCTTTTGAGGTCCCTTCCAATCCCTAACGTTCTGTGATTCTGTGTTTATGCTCTCTTAGGCTGTAAGGTTTTTCCTGCACGCTACAATAAGAATTGGCCCAGTCTTGCAGAGAGTTACTAGCTGTTAACTCCAGTTCAGAGACAGCACCAGTCAGAGAGAAACACACACACTTAAATGTTAAATGAGAAGCACACCTAAGTCTTTATTAACTATAGCCATAACAATGATCCTGGTACATTCCACATTGGGCTCTGAGCCTTGCTTCCTACTGACTTGGCGAGATAAATTTCTGTAAGGCAGAGAACCCTCTTCTGAAACAAGCATTGAAAAGCTACTAATATTTTAATATATATATGTACATAAAGAGGAAGCTTTTTAAGAGAAGACACGTTTTGCTAAAGCGGGTCTTTCCCGGTCTGAATACTCTTTAACTATGTAAGCATTTTTAAGTCCCTGGAAGGTAACAGTCTTACATCAACTGTATGGTAATATTATTTTATTTAACAAAATATCTAACTGCGTTCACCTACTGTTCTCAGTGCTGAAGTGCTGAAGTATTTTAGCCAGGTATCCACTGTTTGCAAGGTCAGTCATAGCCCCAGGACAGTTTGGAATCAGCAGCGCATGGTACCTAGTGCCTAGTAAGGAGGAAAGAATAGATTAATTGTTATAGAGGTAACATACAAAAAAAGCCTGATCGTAAACCTATTGCAAATTTGACAAAATTACTACAATACCATATGAGTCAGTGAAAAACTGTATAAACGGAATGCACTAAAGAAATACAAGAGACTATACTATATGGAGCAGAGAAAAAAGTCCTTTTTAGGACAGAGAATAGATTTTTAATGAGACATTCTTACCCTGGCAAAGCTTAAAGCCACTATGTCTGCTAGCTTCCACTTTAGGAAACTATTTATTTTTTAAAATAACAATATATAGTGTATATATACACACACAAGAGAGAGAATATATATATTGTGGGGTTTATATACGTGAGAATTACCAATCCACACTAAATAAGAAAATAACAACCGTAGTTACCAGAACTTCCTCTTAAAACACAGATTTTATGCCTTTTCTGTGTCATTCTTCCCTAAAGACCTAACACTACGCATTTTTTCCCTGATAAATGGAGATGACACACTGGCCAACAGTAAAGCCCTTACCATCAATCGACTCCAACTTGGCAGGGTTCGCGTACGACTTCATACGAAAGTCCTGTATCCAGCGCATGTTGCTCTCGTTCACATCCACAAAATCAATTGACTTCCCCTAGGGAAAACGTGGTTCAAAGCCTGCAGTTACCATCACCACACAGATATCCACTATGCTTCTCGAAGGACAACGACATGGGGCTTTGAGAGGCTCTCAAAAACCTGAAGCCTCCCAATTTTCCCACTGAAGTAGTTCTTCTAATGGTTCTCTCTCCACTCTTTGTGGGTAGCAGATACTGGACAAGAGCAGTTCAGAAGCACATTAAATGAAGCATGCATTCAGTTCAATATTAACAAAACAGAATTTTAAAAGTCCCTTAATCTATAAAGCCAATAAAACACCTCTCAAAAATAGTATAATTCTCTCTTTTAATTGAGATACCAATTGTTTTCAGACTGAAATCACAGTAACTGCCTGTTTTTACTTACCCCAGGAGTAGCAACTTGCAGATTAAAAGCAGAGCTAGTCAGTGTAAAGCAGTGAAGGAAGGACTGGGCTGACACACCTGAAAAACAGAGTCAAACAACTTAAGGAAAAAGGTTTTTTTTAATCCCCACTACACGAGCTCACTGTGTCTAGCAAAGTACACAAGCTTGGGTTTTTTTGCTCATTTTAAAAGCGCTCATTAATTTCAGAGTGTTATTTTAAGATGCAAGACATGCACAGCCGTCATTATAGGTGAGCTATGTATTGAGAAATACTTAACAAAGGCATCCTGTTTTTCTTGGCTGGGGGGAGGGTGACAGGGAGGGCTGAGGGAAGGCAGGCAGAAATGAGGGGTGTTTGGTTTCCTGCAGGCACACATGCAAGCACAGCTCAGGAGCAGCTACATGCAGAGGGGAAAACTAGCAGGTACTCAACAGTACGGCTGTACACAGAGGGACACGCAAGCACACCTGCACTGCAGGTGAGTATTTACGGAAAGCGAGCGCATCTGTATGCAACACAGGTGCACAAGCAGCACCCGTGTGTAGAGCAAAGCTGAGCGTGGCTGTACAGCCCAGCTACAGCGTCCGACAGGCACACACAGCCGAGCTGCGCGCCCGGAACTGCACGACACAGCCGTGCCTGAAGACGGGGACACTCATCACGGCGACAAGAACACAGCAGGGCCGGGCGTAGCACGGCATCGATGAGCATGGAAAGGAGAACAGCCGCTGGACCCCGGGGTGGTTGTGGTGGTGGTGGTGGTGAAACACAAGGGACCCGCAGGCCGGAGGAGCCCGGGTGAGGCCGGCGCGCCGAAGAGAGGTGCGGGGCCCGGCGGGAATGG